CAACTATCTTACTTAACAACATAGGTTTTGGGCTCAATTGTGGTCATGACTACCTGTAATAAATTCAGGATGTGCAATTTGGTACCTCTTGCAGGTAATTTGAATTGCGTCTCCTGCAAATTTCAGCTACAATGAAAATCAAAATATTTGAGGAGCTTTTTCTTGCATTTCCTTTTCTTATTTGCTTCCAATCAGCTGCTTTAAATGCATCTTAGGAGCATCTTTGTGAAATGTGCCCATGATTACAGATAAGCACATAGTCTGGCTTGAATTGCTTGGTCTGATATGTTTGGGGATTTAGTGTGTAATTGTCTGGAACAGGCTTGGGAAACAATTATGTTAATTCAGCTATGTCTGGCATGTTTTTTTGCAATCTCCATATTCATACGGCATTTATATCTTCCTTTGAAATTAAATTAGCAAACCATAAACTGTCCTATTATCCTGACTGGGATCACTTCACAGTTGCCATAATGCATTAGCAGCAATGGGCAACTTCATCTGGGAGGTTCCTGAACACGGCGATACAATGGAGTCATTATTGTCTTAAATCAGGAGGATGGCTCCAGGTTATAAAAGCAAGCCCTTGTTCAACTACAATTGATGCCAAAATTTCTATTGCTAAGTGAGACAACTATTAAGTGAGTTTCAGCCCATATTATGACCTTTCTTGCCATCGTTAAGTGAATCATTGAAATTGTTGTTAGTAGCAAAAGGGGATCACATGACCCAGGGATATTGCAACCATCACAAATACGAGTCAGTTTCCAGGTGTCCAAAGTTTAAACATGTGACCATGGGAATGCTACAGTGCTGTAAGTATGAAAAATGGCCATAAGTCACTATTTTCAGTGCCATTGTAACTTTGAACGGTCACTGAATGAATTGTAAGTCAAGGACTACTTGTCTCCTTTTCGTGCTCCTAGCTTCAAACAGGTTGGAAGATTTTGGGTGCTTTGAGTCTGGAAAACCTATTGTATCTAAGTTGGATCTGTTTTCTACACCTACCCCTTCCAACTCTGAACTGCTAGAGAGCAGTGTTTAGTTTTCATCCATCCCTGTTCCTGCTTCAAACGTAGAAGACTTCTCTGCTGCTTTTGGGAGACAGAACAAGGTGTCATGTCTTCCTGGAATACAGGTAATCCCCGATTTACAATTGTTCATTTAGTAACAATTTGAAGTTACAACAGTGCAGAAAAAAGTGACCTATGAGCCTTTTTCACACAATGGTTGCAGCAATCCAATGGTCAAAATTCAGACTCTTGACAACTGGGTTCATATTTATGATGGTTGCAGCATCCGGGGGGGGGGGGGTCATGTGATCCCCTTTGCAACCTTCCAACAAGCAAAGTCAACAGAGAAGCAAAATTCACTTAACTGCAGTGATCCACTTAACTCTGGCAAGAAAGATGATATAATCAGGCAAAACTAACGTAACCGTCTCGCTTAGCAAATTTTGGGCTCGATTGTGGTCGTAAGTCAAGGACTGCCTGTACTGCAACTTGCAACACCCACATCGGGACCCCAGGCCAGTTGGCAGAGCCAAGTTTCAAGGCCTTTCCAGAAGACCCAAAGGGCGGGTGAGTGAACATCTCACCTCACAGGGCACAATATTGTGAAGGGTGGGGGAACAACATCAGAAAAAGCTCTTCTGTACTCCGCCAGCTGGAACTGTGGCTCTCTTGTTGATTAAGATTGAATTAAATCTGGTGCCTGTTACCCCGTAAATCAAGGGCAAGCAAACAGCAGCTGCATCACAGTTGAAGGAAGGAAACTTCAAGGTTAGGACATCATAACACCCTCTGCATAGGGCTGTCTTTAAAGGTGCTATGGAAGCCTTGGCCTTAGTACTGGATATAGCAACAGAGTTTCCTGGGGTGGAGGGAGCCAAGCAGGTGGAACCTGTTATACCAGTTCTATACCAACAACATCGGCTGCCTTCTTTTTTTGGCCTAAATTGATTTAATGTGTTGCTTTAGTACAGATAGTCCTCGACCTACAACAGTTCTTTTAGTGACTGTTCAAAGTTACAACTACACTGGAAAAAGTGAGCTATCGTTTTTCACACTTAACAACTGTTGCAGCATCCCTGTGGTCACGTGATCAAAATTCAGCCGCTGTGCAACTGACTCATATTTAGGATGGTTGCAATCATGTGATCCCCTTTTGTGGCCTGACAAGCAAAGTTAACGGGAATCCAGGTGCACTTAACTCTGTGACAAGTTAACAACTGCAGTGATTCACTTAACAATTGTGTTCGTAAGTTAAGGACTATCTACTTCACTCTGTTGGGCAGCCATTTTTCCATATGATTCTGCCTGGGTATTAAAAAAAAATCTCTCCTGCTCCATATTGAGATGAGCAGCCTCAGATTTGTGCAATTTATTTCCATTTTCAGTTTAAAAATAAAAGAGACTGAAAGCTATATTTAACATTTAACATTTTCGATTATTAACGAGGGCTGTACAGTGCTTCAAATCGTGTTTGGAAGAGATCCTTGGAAGTCGCAACTTCAATGCAGCATCCATTGATAACTTGTTAAAGCAGCTATGTCTTTTTCCCTGATGACATGGGAACCTTTGCTTGGTTAATTTTGCAGATCTATATTTTATGGCTTCCCAACAGGTCTGATTGAAAGGCTCAAAAGCGCTTCTGAGCCTCTGGAAGCGTCCACAGGACATGTTCTGCCATTTTTAAAGCCAAGTGTGTCCCTTTTCTCAAGTTATATGGCAGGCAGTTGAGATTATGAAAAACACAGTTGCGGATCGGTATGACATGACAATTTTTGCAAATCATTGTCTTACCTTAAAATTTGAAGCACTGTCTAGTATGTATTAGGAATGCGGATGTATGAGTTACATTGCAACTTCAGTGCATAAGTGCAAAAATCATATTTAAAAAGTCTTAGATTCCTCAGGGTGGGGCAGAGAAATGAGTACTATATTAATAAACTTTCACTTATCTTGAAACACCTGCTCTTAATTCTTACAGGGAAGCTTCAGTGTCTTAGGCTACTGATAAAATATGAATGTATAATTAAATTTCCATGAATCTCACCTGGAACAAATTGAAACTGTAACCGCAACTTTTATTTCAGCTGATTTATATATATATATATATATATATAGCTGGTAGGCAGGGAAATCTAGCGCATTTCCGATTATAGCAGTTACTTTTTATAGTATTCATCACTTTTCTTGCTGAGTGCTAAAAACCTAGTTTTAATTTTTATTTCTAACTAGTTCTTTGGAGAACTTGGAAATGCCACTTTACTGCTATTTTTATTTGCCTTTTACCATCCATGGTGCCTTCATCAAATATTGTGATTGATACACTCAATCGATACTTGTTTTTGTGTTTCAATTTTTAATATTTTAATTTTAATGATTGTTTTTATTGTTTTTATTTTTATCATTTTTATATTATTTGCATAGTTCCCATAGTCACTTTGTGAGATGGCTGGCTGTACAAATCAAATAAATAATATGCTGCTGTTTTGTTTCCTCTAATTTTTAATTATTCTACTGGGTTAAAAAAAACCTTATTTCTGCATATGCTGAACCAATTAATGAGTAATGCAGCTTAATACAGTAATTTAGAACTAGAAAAATGTTCATGTAAAGCAGTATTGTCTGGGACCTTCATTAGATTTTATTATAGACACATATAATAAAGCTAAGGAATTTGCTTTCTGCAAATACGGCAGAATATTCAATCCCCATGGTATCAATTGCATCACCTACAACTGTGAAGCCCATGGTCTGACCTAAGTGTAGTACACAAAATTTTCTGCTACAATGTCCTACCTGTCGATAACTACTTCAGCTTCAACCACAACAATACACACACAAACAACAGATACAAATTCAAGGTAAACCGCTCCAAACTCGATTGCAGAAAATACGACTTCNTCTATCTCTCTCTCTATCTATCTATATCTATCTCCCCCTCCCCCTCTCTCATTCCAGTGGTCACTCACAACCCATTTCAGGGTGACCTTTTAATCACTCTACCATCAGGCTAGCCACATCAGCATGTTGCTGGTAGAAAATTGGTAATATGGGATAAATGCAAAGAACGGTGGGGTGTTTTCCCCTCCATTGTGAAACTGTTTATACACAAACAATTGATCTTAATTGCCTTGTGTACAATCCACTTAACGCAGGATCTTTTTTTATTGATTTGTTTGTCCAATTTGGTTACCATCCATGCCTTGAGTTGATTGACAACATTTTGTCTCTTCCCCTTCGTCCGGTTTCCAGTTTGTCTAAAAAAATACCCTGCTTCTCTTTCTGAGTATCGGTTTCCCGAAGTCTGTAATTCTCTTGAGTGAGACAGACTTTGCAGCATGTTAGATTTTTGAAGCCAGCTGAGAAGATCAGTCTCTGCGGTGTGTGCTTCACTTGAAACAGTAAATTACACCTTTGCAAAGTTTACTCCCTTTACTCTCTCCTGTGACTAGTTTTGAAATCCAGTAATCAAAGAAAATTGGATTAAGGTACATGTGATTGTGGACGCTGTTTACCAACACCCAGAAGTCAATTTTGTATTGCTTGAAGCCTCATGTGGCAGGATGTTTCTCTTCCTGTGTGTGTGTATCTACTAAGACTTAAACGATAAAAATAATGTTGTTTTTCCCTCTGAATGAAGACAAATCCACCCCTTTCCCCATTATTTGGTTTTGAACAAACGCCCTAAATTATTGTTTTATCAACCTTGGTTATTGTAAGGTGTGTGGACTCTCTGGGCTGAGGAATTCTGGGAATTGAAGTCCAGGCCTACCTTGTGACAGTTGGGGTGTCCCAAGGTTATGTGATCAGTCAAGGGGGAAGCCAGATTCACTTAACAACTATCCTGCCAACTGCTTTCGTTCGTTTTACAACTATGGCAAGAGAAGTCATAAAATGGGGCAATGGAAATGGTGGCGTTGAGTCAGGACCTCCTGCAACTTGAAGGTGAATGGGCTTCAGCTCCTGGAGTTCCCTGAGAAAGCAGTGCATGCTTTTTCCTCCTCCTCCGGGGAAATCTGGGGATTCAACTCCAGAGCGGCCAGGGTTGAGAAGCCTACTTCTAGATGGCTGTTTGCTAGAACCCCTGGCACGTTCTTACTTAACCATTCCTGTCTCCCTCCCAGGCTTGATCTTTGTGGTTGACAGCAACGACAGAGAGCGAGTCAACGAAGCCAGAGAAGAGCTGATGAGGATGTTGGCAGAAGACGAGCTCAGAGATGCTGTCCTTTTAGTCTTCGCTAACAAACAGGTAGGTAGAGATGCCCCCCCCTGGGGACCGTTCTTCGTATTTGAATGCGACAATCGCTTGCAGGAACTGGGGAATGGCCGGAGAAAAGAAGGACTAGGGGGGGACATGACAGCAGTCTCCCAGTATTTGAGGGGCTCCCACAAAGAAGAGGGAGTCAAGCTATTCTCCAAAACACCTGAGTGTAGAACAAGAAGCAACGGGTGGAAACTAATCAAGGGCAGAAGCAATTTAGAACTGAGGAGGAATTTCCTGATAGAACAATTAATCAGTGGAACAAGGTGCCTGTAGAAGCTGTAAATGCTCCAACACTTGATATTTTAAAGAAAATGTTGGACAACCATTTTTTTGAAATGATATAGGGTTTTCTGCCTGAACAAGAGGTTGAGGTAGATGACCTCCAAGGCTCCTCCCAACTCTGTTATTCCATTCCATTCCATTTAACTCATTCCATTCTCTATCATGATATTTATGGTCCAAAAAGGACAGATTTTTCCTGGTTAGGCCATGTTGAAGCATATCTGCTTTGTATAAATCCAGGTCACGGATGCCCCGAAAGGTTCTTTTTCAAAAGGCAACTGGAGACTCTGGTTTTTCTTTGAATACGTTTCGCTTCTCATCCAAGAGCGTCTTCAAGGACAATTAACCAGTGGAACGGTTTGCCTCCAGAGGTTTCTGGGTGCCCCATCTCTGGGCGGTCTTTAAGATGAGACCGGACATTTGTCTGAAATGATATGAAGTCTGAGCAAGGGGTTGGACTAGAAGACCTCCAAGGTCTCTTCCAGTTCTGATATTCTGCTGCTAGGAGCCCTCCTGCTGGTTGCCCAGTCTTGTTTTAGAAAGCTCCTTGTACTTGAGAGACCGCCTGCTGCCAATTACCTCCCACAGACCCATTAGATCTCACAGGGTCGGCCTCCTCCGGGTGCCATCTACCAGCCAATGCCNGCTTAGAGAGGCCTGAAAGGCCTATGAAGCGGTATATAAGTCTACTGCTATTGCTATTCATTCAAGATCTTACTTTGCTGCATTTTTGGAATTGCTTGAATTAAAGGAAATTGCATTATGGACATACTGTGTGCAGGTAGTCCTCACCTTATAGCCCAAAATTTATGTTTCTAAGTGAGACATTTGTTAAGTGCGTTTTGCCCCATTTTACTACCTTTCCACAGTTGTCAAGTGAATCGCTTAAGTGTGTTTGTCACGCGATTGTTAAGTGAATCGTGTTTCCCATTGACATTGCTGGTCACATAGCCCCCAAGAGGCTGTGACCGCCATACAATATGAGTCAGTTGCCAAGCATCCGAATTGATCTTGTGACCATGGGGATGCTGCAATGGTCGTAAGTGTCATAGGTTAGTTTCTTCAGTGCCGTTGTAACTGAAAATGATCACTAAATGAAGTGTTGTAAGTAGAGGACTACCTGTATTTCCAAATGTGTAAGATAAAAGGGCATGATCTTAAAACCTTTCTTTCTGTTTAGTCTTCACAGTATCACCTGTTGAAGTTTAGAGCTGTTTCTTTAAACAGCTCTAAACTTTGTAGGTAGACTTTCATTCATTTGTTCTAGTTTGGATAAAATCTATTCTTTTGTTTTGAAAAGCAAGTCTCAGGTTATCTGAGGACGTGAGGCATCACGTTGCCGAGGTTGGGAAACACTGATCTAACTAAAAAACTATGAATATTATGTTGGTAATTGGCTTTCTGTGTGGCATATTTTATACACGGTAAATTAAAACCTAGGAGCCCACTTCTTCAACCATAAAGGCTATCAAGCCTTCCCTATTTCCAGAAAGCTGGTTTCCTAGAGTAGTCAAGGTGCTGGCTTAGAAACCAGGAGATGACGAGTTCTAGTGCCACATTAGTCATAAAAGCCATCTGGGTGACACTCGGCCAATTACCAGGAGACAAGGAATTTTAGTCGTCCTGTAGCAAGGGTGTCCAACTCACATCATCACGGCGTCATGAAGTGATATATTGGGGCCCTCCCCCCCCCCCTTTTGCTAAACCGAGTGTGGGCAGCTCATGACGCATCTGGCATGCAGGCTGGGTGGGTTTTGCCAATCACCAAGAGACTGGGAGTTCTAGTCCTGCTTTAGACTTTCTGCAGCATTTTTACACAGCGTTATAGTGTTGAGTTTTCCTTGCATATATCTGTAAAAGAAGAAATAGAAGTAGAATCAACCATCAGTGGCACACTACTTAACCTCCTGCAAGCATAGATGTCACCCTCCGTGCACCTAGGCCAGTGGTGGTGCAGTGGTTAGAATGCCGTACTGCAGGCTATTACTGCTGGCTGCCAGAATTCGGCAGTTTGGTCCTGACCAGCTCAAGGTTGACTCAACCTCCCATCTTTCCAAGGTCACTAAAATGAGGATCTCCAAAGTACCCTCCGCTCTTGGAGTTCGCTAATATTTCACAGTATATGTGTAATTTTTAAATATGTTTATATTCTTCTGTTCAGTTTTGTGTCCAATTCTCAGAAACTGACTGCCTTGATGAATCCCTGCTGTTTTCTTGGCAAGTTTTTTTCAGAAGTGATTTGCCATCGTGTCCTTTATAGAGCTGAGAGAGTGGCTGGACCAAGTTCAATATCTCAGGCGGGATTAGAACTCCCAGTCCCCTGGTGATTGGCCCAAAGTCACACCACCGGCTTTTTGCTCTGGCAGGACTAGAACTCACAGTCACTTGGTTTCTACTCTGGAGCCTCAAACATTACACCAAATTGTGCCTCAGCTTTTTTTAAAATCACTTTATTTATGCAATACTTGCTGATGAGGAGGAAGGGTTGTTGAAGACAAAATGCGATTGGCATCACCTTAAATCAATAAATGCATCTTTCGCCTATTAACTGAGCACATTTTCTCTCTCACTTATTCTTGTTTAGGTTTTAATGTAGAAACAGTAGAATACAAGAATATTAGCTTCACGGTGTGGGATGTCGGCGGACAGGATAAGATCAGACCGCTCTGGCGCCATTATTTCCAAAATACACAAGGTGAGTTGTTTGCGTTCTACAAGACCCACACACTGTCTCTCTCTGATCTGCATCAGCATTAGATTGCTCCAAAGTTGCATGGACAGTAGCAGGAAATCCCATTATTTTTGCTAAAGTAGCTGGAATAGATGGAGATGTGCTGATGTAGAAAGGATGCTGAGACTCTAGAAAGAGTTCAGAGAAGAGCAACAAAGAGGATTAGGGGACTGGAGGCTGAAACATATGAAGAACAG